ATGTATATATATATATATATATATATATATATATATATATATATATATCTATATATAATTATGTCTCCTTATATAACTATATCTCCTTATTCTCTGTGTGTCTCCTGCTGCAACCTATACCTTACTCCTATTTAATATTCATTATAAAGGGGACCCTGCATATAAGAAACAAAATAAAGGGTTTAGGGTTTAGGGTTTAGGGTTTGTATATAGACCAAGTAGACACTACGCCCCACATATGGAGGCCCCATAGGGCCGCCAGGGCAACCTAGGGGCCCCCAAGGCACTGAAGGGGCCCCCCCTGCATCGTGGGGGCCCCCAGTGCAGTGTGGGGGCCCCCCGTAGGGTTGTGTAGAGGCCCCTCTAGTAGGGTTGTGTGGGGGGCCCCGTGGGGTTGTGTGGGGGCCCCCAGTGGGGTCCCCCAATAGGGTAGTGTGGGGGCCCCGCGTAGGGTTCTGGGGGCCCCCCAGTAGGGTTGTGGGGGGCCCCCAGGGGGGGCCCCCAGGGGCCCCCGTGGGGTTTGGTAGTGCTAGGTAGGGCTGAAGGCGTCTAGGAGGGGCAGCAGCAAACCCTCGGGGGGTGGGGGTCTCCTTAGAGAGAAAGGCTGCAGTACTAAACCCTCAGAGACAGGCAAACAAGTGTCTCCTTTTTGGTGTATATAGGTGTCTCCTTTTTGGTGTATATAAGTGTCTCCTTTTTCTATATAAGTGTCTCCTTCTTGGTGTATGTAGGTGTCTCCTTCTTGCTGTATCCAAGTGTCTCCTTTCTGTATCCAAGTGTCTCCTTTTTGGTGTAGATAAGTGTCTCCTTCTGCATGCATACAAGTGTCTCCTTTTTGGTGTATATAAGTGTCTCCTTTTTGGTGTATATAAGTGTCTCCTTTTGTTTGTTTATAAGTGTCTCCTTTTGTGTTAGGAGGGAATGCACGTATACAGCCTTCAGGGGGATATTGCTGCTGCTGCAGTTGCTGCTGCTGCTTCTGACGCAGTTGCTGCTGTTGCTCGCGCTGCTGCTGTTGCTGCTGCCTTTGCCGCTGCTGCTGCTGCTGCTGCTGCTGCTGCTGCTGCCTTGGGGGCCTTAAAAAGGGGGGGCCCCTAACACGCACAGCGCGGGGCCCCTTGGGGGTTGCTGCGAGTTGAATTGCTTCTATCGATGGAGCTGTTCCTGCTGCTGCTGCTGCTGCTGCTGCTGCTGCTGCTGCTGCTGTCACTGGCACGGTTTGTATCTGACAGTGGCGTGTTCCTCTCTCTCTGCTGCTGCTGCTGCTGCTGTTGCTGCTGCTGCTGCTGCTGCTGCTGACTGGGAACCACCAGCAGCAAGGAGTCAGCCGCTGGGCGTTTTTAAGGCCTCTGCTGCTGCTGTTGCTGCTGCTGTTGCTGCTGTTGCTGCTGCTGCTGCTGCTGCTGCTGCTGCTGCCTGTATGGCATCGGGATCTCCAAGAGGTTGCAGCAGCTGCAGCAGCAACTGGTGCTCCTGCTTCTGCTGCTGCTGCAGGCGGAGGAGGAGAAGCAGAAGCAAAAGTGAATTCGCTGTCAGCTGGAGACACTTCTCTTGCTGCTGCAGTATTTGTGTCTCTTCTGCTGCAGCTTTGTGACAGACACGGGGTTGCTGCTGCTGCTGCTGCTGCTGCTGTTCCTGCTGCTGCTGCTGCTGCTGCTGTTGCTGCTGCTGTTGCTGCTTCGGGGAAAACCTCGTCTGCTGCAGACAAACACAAAGCATCGCGGCTGCCAGAGGTTGGCTGGTGCAGCAGCAGCAGCAGCAGCAGCAGCAGAGACAAAGAGAGACAAACAGAAAGAGACAGAAGGAGACAAACAGAGACAAAAAGAGGTAGAGAGAAGGAGACAAAAGGAGACAGAGAGGAGACAGAAGGAGACAAAAAGAAGCAGAGAGGAGACAAAAGGAGACAAAAGGAGACAGAGAGAAGGAGACAGAAGGAGACAGAGAGAAGGAGACAGAAGGAGACAGAAGGAGACGAACAGAAGGAGACAAAAGGAGACAAAAGGAGACAGACAGAGAGAAAAAGAAAGAGACAAATAAAGATATACAGAAGGAGACAAAAGAAAGGGGACAAATAAAAGGAGACAAATAAAAGGAGACAAATAGAGAGAGACAGAAACATATGAAGGCCCATCTATATATATATCTATATATACCTATATATATATATATATATATATATATATATATATATA